CCTAAGAGATTTATAAATATTGCACTGTACTTGCCAAAAGGTGCGACCTTATCGTTCTTACGCCGGAAATGTGAGTTGAACTTACCGGTGGTGCAGACCCTCCGTCGTATTTTAATTATTAATGTTCCTAACTTATCGGTTCTTTTTCTCTCTTTATTCTTCGTGAAAATCGTACATTCAGTTCTCGTATCATACTCTTACATATATATATACATATACATATACATATACATATATGTATATGTATTGTATATATATATATATATATGTATATATACCCGTAAAAGAATTCTTGGAGAAATTGGGTTATGGCGGAAACACATTGCGCTATTGTGACGCGTTGCAGTTTTGCTGGTGCATCGAACGTTATATAACTTACTTAGTACGTGTTTAGACCTGTATATGCATCGATGTATTATATACGTGTATGTGTGTGTATTACCTGCATACTCGTGTTCAAGATTTTTTGGCAAGGTCGGCCAACCTTTCGTCTTTCTATTCGGATACTATTCATTACTTTCTTATCGGTAGAATTTCGAGAGCTAGATCCGAAATTGATTGCTCGTCCGAAAGGTTTGAAAATAAATTAGACAGATCTAATTATAATATATTCGCGTATAAATACAATAAGATTTCAGATTATATATTATATTGTCTTGTATGAAAAAAAATACATCTAATAATATACCGAATATTTTTCACATTTGAAATCCATTCGATTTGTTACGATTAAATCATACGCGGAATTTAATTTCAATTAATAAATGAATTCATTCAAATTTCAAATTATAATTACCGATGAAAGTAGTACAAAGATTAGAAATAATTAATCAAATAAATCTATACCATTTTGAAAATAATTGTATAAGTTTTCCAATATAATAACATACAAATTCTTCCGATACCCACGTAACAATGTTGAAACATTTCAAGACGATTTTTACTTTTCAATAATAATATTTTTCATTATATATTTCCACTATACATATATATCTTTCTCTCGCGTGTATGTATATGTGTGTTTAATCGAAGAACACTGTCGCGAGTGATATAAAAGAACAATTTCTTTTTAAATAATAACAATTTAAAATAAATGTTGTACGTTAACGGTTAACGAATGGAGTTTGAAAATTCAAAAGAAATGTTCATAATCGTTGTAACTTTCAATGAAAAAGACGAGATTTTAAAGTACCGAGAAGCGTTTCCTCTACTCGGGTAGTACGGTAAAAATGTGTTGGCTAATTGGTGCGAAGGTTCGTTAGCGTCGAGCTACGTAATAATTAGTAGTTAAGGCTCGATGTGACTCGACGAGCGTTGAGTAACACGAAAGTTACAACTACCACGTGCACTTATACACAGATGCATGTGCATAACATGCATATACGTGTTTCTACGAGCAACGTATATTGTTTCGAAGAGCCGATTAATCGAGCACGTAAATTTCTTTCTCTCTTTTTCATTTTTTTTTTTAATCATACAAACACACGATTATCAAGGTGCCAACTTAACGACAACAACAAAAATCATTTTCTACTGTTTCTTTCTATTGTCGCTATTAAAGATATTTTCAATCGCGACCACAGAACTTCTTCTTCTTCGTCTGTTGAAAATTTTCTTTTTTCTTCCTACCCTTCTGTTTGTTTTTTTATATCTTATTCGATGAACTTATTGGACAAACCTAATACTATTATATCTTGGACGAATAAAAGTATAATCGAGAGTAAACTATTTTAAATCGAGATTAAATTGTTCATAATAATATTATCTATCTGACTTTTGTAAATATATACATATATAATGTATACAATTTTATTGTATTTTCAATATAACTTTCTCAACTTTTGCAATTGTCTTTTTTTTTTTCGAAAGATGTACGAGTAGTAAGTTCGACCGATATGTGTCGTTCGTTTTCTCTTTCTCTCTCACTCTCTCTCACGTAGACACACACGATTAATGCTGCATTGATTCGTCCACCGAGTGAGAAATAGTCGGGGACAGGGGAAATTCATAATTGTGGAATCGAGCGTAGTTGGGTCACGGGTCCTATTTTTAGCTGGTTCTGATTGTGAGTTCAAACGAAAGCAAAGGCCACCTGTGTGTATCCAACGTTTGCTTTACGCTGTCGCTTTATTGTCTGCTCTCTTCACTAACTTTATCTCTCTCTCTCTCTCTCTCTCTACCTCTATCTTACTCTCTCTTTTTTTCTCAACATCTTTTCACCATCCACCACCCCCTAGCCCCCCTACTAACCCCACTAACAAAATGTTACATCCCCGTTCAAGAGAAACACCCCGTGGCTTCATCTCTCTCTCTTTCTCTCTATCCCTTTTTCTTTCTTATTTTCTTTCGTTCCGAAAAAAAAAAAAAGATTTCGGCGTCGTCACATCAACCAACTCCGCAAAGTTCCTTTATTTCCGTTCATTTTGCTACAAAACAATTTCAAGATTGTTGTTGTTGTTCGTATTATTCTTTTATCGTTTTCCAAATACTCAAATGCACGTTTACAATTATTATACCGAATCGATACTTATGAAAAAATTTATTCAATCAAATAATATTTATTGATCCGAATGTAATTAATCGAAAAAAAAGAAAAAAAAGAAAAGAAAAGTAATGTTTTCTCTCCATTATCATGAGAGATTTTAATTTAGAATTTAAATTCGACAGAATTTTTATGCGAACGTTATTGACAAAAAGATAAAAAAAAAGAGAGAGAGAGATGAAGTAAAAGCCAATGGGATGTTAGAGAAACGATAAAAATCCTACAATCTTTGTTTTACTTTGCAATATCGGCTCTTTCTCTCTCTCTCTCTCTCTCTCGCTCTCTCTATTTCTTTTCTTTTAGTCCTCTTTTACTCGGTTTTTATTCACGGTCTCTTATTCGACACTAGCACGATTTACCACGAGACTCTTTTATAAGAAAAAGAGAGAAAAAAAGAGAGAGAAAGAGAGAGAGTAAGCTTCCCTAGTCGTTTACTCTCTTTCGTCATCTTAGCCGTGCATTGTGCCACCCTTAAAGTTCTCAGAAACGTGTGCAATATTAAAAAGCTGGTTCTCTCTTTCTCTCTATCTCTTTCCCTTTAGTTCACTGAGAAAACCAAGAGAGAGAGAGAGAGAAAGAAAGAGAGAGAAGCTTTACTCGCAAAAGCTTTGACAAAGGATCGACGACGATCCTCCGATAGTCGTATCCTATCGTCCTTCTTCCCTTTTAAAGATTCCCTAGAAGCCCGATTTCGTAGTAGCAAAGACTTAATAGGATCGAAAATGCGAACTATTTGAAATAGACTTGTTAAAGAGAAAGTGTAAAAGAAGTATTAAGATGATAAGGGATGAAATACTTTAAACGAATAAATTTTCCCTTACCCTTTTTTCGATAAATTCGAGAACGCGATTAGATATTTGTTTTCTTTTTTTTTTTTTCAATATAATAACAAATACGTTTCTATGATAATCCAAAGATTCTATCGTTAAATACATTATTAAAGATATTCGTAAGGGAAAGAAGAAAAAAAACAAGAATAATGATACGATACTTATTTATCAATCCGATAACAAATATGTTTCTTAAAAAAGGACAAAAATATCGTATAGCAAAATGTATTTTTATATACATTGTATTAATAATTTTGTTAGATTTATCAAATTTCCAGATATATTAACACGTTTATTATGCGCTAATATCAACGTCAAGACACCGAATTATATTATAATAGTCGTACTTTGGCCAAAATTATTATTTACGATTATTATAATTACATTATTATTATTATTATTATTATTATTATTATCATTATTATTAATGTAATAATATTGTTACTGTAAATAGAGGGATTATCGTTATTTCGGATAGGTTCGAGCTTTATCGAACGGTCGACCTCGAGTAAGGCAGCTCGATTATTCTGATGCATCGAGCTTAAGCCTAGTCGAAATTTATCACTTGCTTTATCTCTCTCTCTCTCTCTCTCTTTCTCTCTGTTTCTCTCACACTTGATTCAAGGTAGTAAGGCTTCACCATAACCGATCGTACAGCTTACCGTCTCTATCCGTCAGCTTTGTCAATGTGGCCGTTAATTCACGCGAAATAATCGAAGTATCGGCAACGAGGAAAATAGAAAGAGAAAGATAAAGTATATACGTATATTATTTGTGTGAGAAGTTAGAGAGAGAGAGAGAAAGTTTCCCCAACTAAATATGATCATACTCTTACTCTCGATTGATATTATCGAAATTTCTCAATTAGAATTCTATTACATTTAAAAAGGAATATTATTCATTAGAATATATATATATATATGTATATTTAATCTCGATCATAGTCATCTTCCTTTCGTGAATAATAAGAAAGGAAAAAAAGGATCAAATGAATATTAAAGTGACCCGAAGTTTTCTTCATACAATCAAAATGGTGGAAAAGTGAACGGAAGAGAAATGTATGAACAAATTTGTGATTCCATCCCGATTCGAAGTGCAATTATGTGTACCGTCGGTGAGAGAAAGAGAAAGAGAAAGAGAGAGAGAGATACATACATACACGGAACACTCTGAAACTAAACTGAAACTCTTTAATGAATAATTTGCATGATTATTTCATTAGAAAAATAAATTCACGATCAAATCCTATCTCAACGTTCGTTTGATTATAATATTGCAAGAGACAAACGCAAATTACGCTTAACGCCCTTTATCAAAACATTTTGTGTACGCTACATTTTCAAGAAATACAAAATAAAAAAGAAATCAATCCTTTTTAAAGATATACCACAATGAATTTAATCGTATTATCGTTGGATGTTCTTATAATCAAATCAAAATTTTATACGCGAAAAAAATAAACCTTCGAAATAGTATCCATTCCGAAATGTAATGTTACGAGGAAGAAAGAAATCTAACAATAAGAAAAGACATTTATTTTTTAAATTAAACACACTCTCACACACACATATATATATATATACTCGAGAGGGTGGAAAAGTAAAAAAAGGGCAATGCATTATATTTACCTGTGCTCTAGGAGAGCGTTTATTCTTTCCACAGTTGGTGTCGAGCTTTTACGCGCGATTCTTACTCCTCGTTCGGATTCTCGGCATGCCTCGCGAGACGAAATGCAAATAGTCTTTTTCGGTCCTTTAGACTATTCGTAGTTTCCTTCCTTCCTTCCTTCCTTCCTTTTCTTTCGGAGATGTTTCGATCAAGGATTCGTCCACTCGTACGAGGAAGGACCAGTTGTGGTAACACCTGATGACGGGTTATTAGGGTAATGACGGAAGGAACACGATTGAGAAAAAGATCAGATAAAAAGATTCAACTAGACGAACAAATGGTTAGACATTAAGTGAAGGAAGATAGACAAAAAAAAGATAATAGACAAATCGAACGGGAAAGAAAAAAAGACGAAGTTCACGATAAGAAAGAAAGAAATAAATAAAGAAGAAGGTGTCTTGCAATAATCGCACGTAAAAATGTCTCGTATTTTTTCCCCAACCCCTCTCATTCCCAACACACACATGCGAGAATGATCCAGACCGGTCTTCAACAACAACAACAACAATAACAACAACAACAACAACGACGACGACGATGACGACGACGAAAATAATAAAAATTAAAGAGAAAGAGGGAGAGATATTTAATAAAAAACTATCTCAAACTCATTTGATCAAATCACACCTTTGTAAAATATTTCTCTCTCTCTCTCTCTCTCACACTCTCTCTCTCTCTCTCTCTGTATCTATCTCCCTCTTTCTCTCTTCGATACTTTATTTATCGTTTGTTCTTTTTTTTATGTCTGTGTGTGTGTTATTATTCCTCAAAATCGTTCGGTATCGTATCTCGATGTATGCAAGGTACCCAGAAAGGGTGGAAAATTATAGAAAATATGTGACCAGAGAAAGATTATTAAAAATAATTATAAATATTAATCTGTTTTTTTTTTCTTTTCTTTGTTTTTTTTTTTTGGTTGTTGTCGGAATAACGGCACCAACGTCAGAAATCTGGACGGCGAATGATAAACGGCCGACGCAATCGCGGGAGATAACGTAAAAGAGAGAGAGAGTTGGAGAAGATGATAACAAGCAAACCGCGAGAGAAGTAGGCCGGTTAACCGTTCAGGCCGCACTGACGAGTCGAGTCACGGCTAGTAAGAGTGAACTGCTCTGCCACCCAACCCCCTCTCTAACCCCTCTACCCCCACTAGACCCACTTCACCCTTTCCTTTCCACCCCTTTCTCTCTCCTCCTCTCTACCTATATATATATACATATATATTATATATGTTATATATATTTATATATATGTATATATATATCTTTCTTTCTCTATCTCGCTTGTTCTTGTTCTTCTCCCTTTACCAAGCCGCATCACATTCTCTCTCTCTCTTTCTCTTTTTCTCTTCTTGTTCATCCCTTCTTTTTATCTCCTCCTCTCTTCTTACTTCGAATTCATTTCTTTTTTCTTTTCTAGCAATCGTGTACGACCACTTCAATTACATTTTTTTTTCTTTCTCTCTCTCTCTCTCTCTCTCTCTCTCTCTCTCTCTCTTCTTTTCTCTTATTATTTATGCTATTATTTTTCTTTATGCCTGCATTTTCTTGAATTTTGATTCTTTTTCTTTTTTAACGAGTCATTGACACATAATGTAGATAATTTTCTTTCCCTCCCACCCCCATCAATCAACGTTAATTTTCCTTCTGATTGTTTATCTTAAATTTTTTTGAATTTGAACAAAAGACAAACTTATATGAAATTCTGATGATTATATTAAAAATATTTTCTTATTATTATCAGTCTTATAACACATTTATTCTTTTTATTAGATTCTCTCTATTTTCTTTTTTTACTTTTGATCTTTTGTAATAAGTTATTGACACGCATAACACATAAGTTATTTAATGATATATACATTTGCAATATTTTATAAGATAAATTTGAACTTTTGATTAAAGTTTTATAAACTACGACAATTATCCAGTAGGTATATTGTCTTCTAATCGAGAAATTGATTTCGTTGTCACATTGATTATACTGCTGCTGATTCTCGTGTCGTTTGTTACATTAATTTGGTTTGATAATCAACCTGTTTAATAGTCTGCCATAGTCAGTCAATAACTATTACAATTAAACTGAGAAATTGTCACATTGATAATGTTACAATCATTTAAATATCTTTTGTTTATATCAATTTGGTTTGATAATCAATCTGTTTAATAGTCTGACATAGTTAGTCTTTTACTACTGTCTGATCGATAAATCTTTTTCATTCATGCTAACGTATTAATAAATTTTTGATCGCATTAATGTTATCGTTTGTTGAATAAAATTCAAATAATATAAAACATTATAAACATATGAAATATTAAATAAATAAATTCGATCGAAAATAAATAATAAAATAAAATAATGCATAATTTCGCATATTGAATTCTCGTCAAATAAAAGAAAGATGACATTACACAGTTGATAGATGATCGCGATAACCAATCCGATAACGAAATCATACATTAGTTAATAATATATGTAAATATATATATATATATCGAGATCTAATCTAGCGATTAAATTTCAATTTCATACCTTTATTAATAGCTTTTTATAAATTCATATATTACCTAGTTGAATTATGTAATTTTGCCTTCCTTCATATTTAAAAAATCAGTACAATTATTTCAAGGTTTAGTTGGTCATTTCACAAAGTAACGCTAAATAAAAATATTTATCTAAATATTCGAGTAATCTGGACGAGATTCAAAAGTCAAATTTACCAATCCTACCTCCGTTAACAAAAAAAAAAAAAAAACAAATAAAAAATTTTTACAAGAAGATAAAGAAAAGGAACAAAACGCTTTGTGTAATAAAATAGATAATACAACTCGGAAGTCACGCGAATGATAGTACGAAATAATAAACGTATTCTACATATATACGTACGTTACATAAATAAAATGATAATAAAGATCGTACATGAGAGATTATAAAAATGCATTTAAAAATTAACATCTGTAATATCATCGATTATCAGAGTTTTCAACGATGCAATTCGATATTATCCTTTGAGAAAAATTACAAACGAATAAAAATTGTTAATCAAATCTAAAGATAAGAACAAAATAAAACCAAATAATCATTTAATAGCGATTCGTTTAAAATGAACTTATTTGAATATTTTAATTTAACATAACAAAAAACAAACATTTAAAAAAAAAAATTTACACTAATTGTTCCCACATTAACTATCAATGACTCATCAACGATAAAAAAACATATATCTGTTACAAAAGTTCAATTGAAGTTAAGCACCTATTATACTACAGTTTCTAACGTTATCATGCATTTCTGCTATCTCATTTTTTTTCATTATTTTAGTATTTCTTTTATTTTTTTTTATTTTTTTTAACCAATGAATTTCAATATTCAGTGTTAACTGTTTGAACTCGAAACATTCGAAGACTAAAACTCGTAGTGTTATTTAATTATAAGAAGGCAATATAATTTCCTCATAAAACCGAAAGAGACACACAGGAGACACGTAATTATAATTATTTTTAAACTAAGTTTAATTATTTCAATTCTTTCTGTTATAGAAAAAAAAAAAGTTATATAAATTGACACAATTTTTTGTGGCAGAATATATGCAATAATAATTTTCTAGTTTGAAATGGAAAATATATAATGGAATTAAAACATATTTATTAAAATTACGTCAAAAACATAAAATACAAATAAATATTAACATAAAAGATAAAATACCAAACATATCGAGGAATGACAAACAAATGTTTCATTTTTCCGTATATGAAAAATATATTTTTAATATTGGTGACTACTTTGGTATCATGCTATGGCTTGATGTACGGAGGTGATACAGGCAGTAAGTTAGTGCAAATATTAGAGAGAGATATTACGTTAAAAAATTATATGTTTTTATTTATTCTTTATAATCTTTTAATCTTTTAAATTAATATTGTTTTTATTCATTTGTCTAAGAATCTTATTTTGATACATGCGCCGCAATCGCGGTGGATAAATTTCGAGAAACTATGAGAAATGGAAACGAGACCCTTGAAATTCCAATTTTGGATCCCTACAAACTCCATCAATTCGCGTATAATATTCAAAAAGAGGATAATATTGAGTGAGTATTTCATTTATAATACCATATTTTTAACCGAAATCTTACAATTGGTATTGTTCGATATACTAAATAGAATTAAGTGTCCATACGATAATCAATAACGAATGAAACAACGATTTTTGTTCTATGAGAAGGGCTCAAGTATATCTACAAAACTTGCAAATAGACAAATTGTCCACTTACAAGATCATTAATGCAGAATTTAGTTTATTTAGAATAAAAATTAACGTACATAATATATGGGATTCGATCGAGTTGGTTACAGATTACAACTTGACAGGAATTTACGAAAACTTTTTACCGATTTATGGATTAGGTGAAATCGAGTAAGTACAATAAAGAAAATCTATCAATGCATTTTAATGCATCATCTACTGTTAACTTCATATTATAAGATAAAACAAACAAAAAATCTGAATATGTTACGTACGAGATTAGAATATTTCGCGAAAATAAATATTGTTTTTCTTTCATAATCTCTCTCTATCTTTTCTTATAGTGCAATCGCGAAAGGTCTAGATATAGATGTGATAGTGGGCCTTTCAATAAAATATGGGGATTTATACGTACAAAGTTTCCAATCAGCGATCAAACTTGAAGAATTCGACGTAAATATATTTAACATGTTGGATCATTGATTAATTCATTCCGATCGATCAGCGATAATAATACGTTCAAATAATTTTTTAGATTAAAGTAACTGGATTATTTCACGACGAACATATTTCAAACACCATAAGCACCATCCTATCGAATATTGTACCACAATTGGTGGATGATTATCAAGAAAAATTAACCGAAATATTGAACTCTTTGGCTACAGATGCCATTAACGATTTACAGAAAAACAACACTTTGTGGGATTTAATATTTAATTCTTAAAACGAAAAAAAAAAGAAAGAAGCCGGAAATAAATCAAAAATAATTTGAAATTGCTAATATTCTTTCCCTAATCTTTATTTGTTTTTTTATATAATAAGTATCTACACAAAATTTCTCCTCGCAATAGCATGAGTATTTCTCTGAATTAAAAATCTCACAGCTTTCTTCTATCATATTGGTAAACTTAGATAATTCATATTTTCTATTAGTATATTGTTTATCCATTGTTTTAATATCTTGGTTGTATAATTGTTTAGAGAAATGTACTTTCTTTTTTCATTTACATATACGTTAATAACTGTGAGAAAAAGTAATTTAATTCTTACATGTTACTCTATTAGTTAGTATTCATTCAATATTTACAATTGTATAACTGTAATTTATATATA